AGTAGCCAGTGAGCCAGGGCTGAGTGTGAGCCCCTGTGTACTCAGGCGGCCAGCATGCTTCCACAGCTCACTGCTTTCCTGAGTTGATCTCTCGTGTCACATTCCTTTCTGTGTTTATTGGAATATTGTAGAGCTTCCATGTATAAGGCACATGTAAATATTTTTTAAAATTCTCTTGCAGCTATACCCAAGAATTAAACCCAGACAAAGGAGCTTGGCCTGAGACTTGAGTTAATGAAGAATTAATAAACTAGAAGAAATACTATTATTATTCTGGAAAAAAAAATTAAAAGACTTAGTTTAATGGCAATGTGGCTTGAAAGCAATGAAGAATGTGCCTGGAAGAAAATGAAGGATTGAAGACGTCAGCATTAGCAGAGGACAGGAGCGTCAGGAATTGCGATGCTCAGCACCATCCATGCTGAGCAGAGTGCTTATTGTGGCACACATAGGCAGCAACGAGCCTGTTTTTGTTGAGAAATGGGACCATTCACTGGGCTGTGGGAAATGAGCTGCTTGTCCTGCTTAGGGCGTTTTGGCACTGTTCCCATACCAGTCTCCTGCCAGAAAGGACCAGTGCCATGTCGCACCATCTCCAGCTGTCGCCAGCACCAGCAGGCTTTGGGGGTCCCTGGCGCTGCACACTTGTGTGTTATCAGTGAAGAACTGTTAGCTGCTTGGCAGTGAGCAATAACTATTGTATGAGTTCCTGTAGCAGTTAAGAATTATGCATATTGAATACTGAAACTAAACTACACTACCTAATCTGAATTAGATTTAGAATCTTGTTTTTAGGCTGAATTTGAATCTATATTTATTGTCTTTTTGTATCTTGGAAATTAGAGATTTGTTACAGATTTACCTGTATTTGTTAGGATCATAACTGATTTTAAAATGATTGTAATAAAATTAAACTTTATGACTCTAAGCCATTTACTGGTTTTCCTTTTAATGTCATAAACAGCTTTGGTTGTAGATCATAAGCCATTGGGCTCTCTCCTGCACAGCTCAGAAATAATGAATTGCTTGATCAACATGCGGGAACTGTGCTAAGATTTTCTTACAGTGGAGTGAGAAGGGCTTCTTAATTACAAAACCTCAGCCTTGCAGTTCACAAATGTGGATAGCTAGAATATCGTACTTCTTTTCAGGGACTGAGGTTGTGCACGTGCGTGCATATGTGTGTTTCATCTGTGGAGGCTGCAAGGACTTCAGATCCCTTGAGCTGGGCTTAAAATGATTTGTGAAGTACCTGATGTCTGAACTCTGGCCTTCTGATAGAGCAGTCAGTGCTCTTAGTCACCTCTCCAGCCCCTAGTTTTGTCATTTCAGAAAAGTTCTTGGAGATCATAGTGACAGAAAGTTTACATGGACCTGCAATGTCTGCTGGGTCATTTTAATGTCTGTGTTTTTTTGTTTTTTTTTTTTCTACATTCTTCAAAAAGTTATTCACATTTATTTATTTGTTGTTTATTTACTTTTACTGCCAATCAAATTAATGAGTTGTTTTAGAGCCCATTTTGCTTAATGGAAATGTAATTTAGTAGAAGATATATATGCAAAACCAGGGGTTACTTTTTCTAGATGTTTTTAAGAGAAGCTGGATTCTAGCAAGGAAAGTAGATGAGAAACCACATAACCTTCCGATAATGGAGAAGGAATGACACATGAGTTCAATATGGAGACTGCACAGTAGGAAAAATTCTGATGTCCGTGGGTGTTCCTTCCCCGTTAGTGAGGTTGGCACAGATGTAGGGATTTTTCAGACTAAGTTTCCTAATCAGCTAACACCATGGGGAGATCAGCTTGGATTAACCAGGTGGGCCCAGTGTAATCACATGAGCCCCTGAAAAGCAGGCAGAGAGGCAGGAGCCTGAGCCAGAAGGTCAGCAAGACTTGGGGTGTTTTTGAAGATGAAAGCGGTCATGAACCGGAAAGTATAGAAACTAAGAAAAACTCTGGACTGAGAAGGGCTGCAAGGAGTTAGGACCTCAGGCTAACTGGACCTGAGTGCACCCTGCCAGGCAAGTCAGTCTGTCTAGGGGTGAGTCCCATGTGGGGGTGCGGTCTGCACTAAGGTAGTGCTTGTTGGGCCCCAGTCTGTGTAAGTGTGAGATCGGGCATTTTTAAGCACCCAAGTTTGTATGAGATGTTACAGCAGGAAACACAGGACGTGGATTCCAGAACTAGACTGTTCCACTCTGTAATTACTTGTATCACCTTGCCAAAACAGTTGACCTCCGTGAGACTTGTTCTGCTAACATGTAGAAAGACCTAAGGAGTCGTGGAGGAAAACCATGCAAAGCGCTAGAGAGAACTCTGAAGAGTTCCGCCAGTCTACAAAGAGAAGGTGTGGGAATTAGGAAAGGGAGCCAAGCCAGTCTGCCGAATTGTCCTTAATCTTAGCGTTCGTTTTTATCCTCTGTATGTTTTTACTTGTTTAATTAAAGTATCAAAGCTTCTTGGGGATAATACTGGGGAAAAAAAAAGTTAGTGACTCAAGAAACACAGCCTTCAAGGGGATAAGAGACAGTTTATTACGTATGGAGCCAATTTGAATGCCCAAGGCCCAGGAAACATGGAGGCAAGTTACTCCAGGTTCTATGTTTCTACAGGAAGCAGTTTCATGAAGCTTCATAGTAGTACGGTAAAGAAAGTCATATATCAAGGCAATTTTAAAAAACTGGTGGGTACATCAGAGAGGCCGTTACGTGAGCAATCTCTGCTATAGGTCTCAGGTGCTATCTGATGACATTCTTAGATGTTAGATTAATAGACTATGAATGGTTTTCATTTATTAGTCACCAGGGGTTAGTCTGACATAGAGGTGGGCAAAGAATGGCTATTTAAGGGCCTAAAATTCGCCCACGATTTGGACCAAGCCAAGATAGTCCAAGCCCTGGACCTCCATCCTTCCAATCTCTCCACATCACTGCAGTTCTAGACAGTCTTCAGATGGCTTCTGCCTAGGGATTCTTGTTTAGAGTTAGGCAGTGGACACTGAGACATTGTTGGGTATATTTTTTGTAGTATTTGGATTTTTTTTTAATGGGTAGTTAAAAAGCTTACAGAGCATCCTGTAAGCAATTATGTATTCTGTTGCTTGCCACTGTGTGTTGATTCAATGGCTATATACAACTCACAATTTATCAAACGATTTAATGTTTAACGTGGGCTGTTTTTCAGTTCTCTGTATTGCTATTGTAGTCATTCTAACAGTGGGCTGTGGTACAGAGAAGAGTTTATTTAGACTTTGCTCAGATATAATAGGCAGTGAAGCCTTGGCTGGAGGTGCTCTCATGTGACTGGAGTTGATAAAAGCAACAGACAGAAGGGAAGTAGGGTAATGTGGACTCGGGTCAGAGGAAGCAGTGAGTGGAATTAAAGGGAGCAGAGTCTGGTGGAGAGCTTGGTCTGGGGCCTGGGAAGAGTTTTGAGGAGTTGGCTTGAGGGGGAACTGGTCCTTAGCCATGTAAGGAGACTGATAGGCTGTCATTTGGCTAGATGGTACCAGGTGGAGAAGTGATTAGGGAACAAAGGATCTAGGCGGGATAGCTTAGAATCTCTGGCCCCGGGGAAGGACAGGCCAGGGTAGGGCAGCTGTGTGATTAGGCTGCCGTTGAAAAGCTGTGAGAAGAAAGGCTGAAGAGATGACTGTACCCAGTCCACAGAAGGGCCAAGATAGGTCTGAGCTTGCAATTCAGGGCAGAGGTTTAGGGGAGTGGTGGTGAGGTGTAGGCCAGGACAGTCCCTATGGGGTCAGACAGTTGGGAGTCTGTTTCCTCCCTGTAAAATGGGCACTGACCAGCTTTTGTTTGTCAACTTGCTTATCTTTATGTGTCCGTGTGTGTCGCCTGCTTACAGACGTGTGTACTACATGCCTGCAGTGCCGATGGAGGCCACCAGATCCGCTGGGACGAGTTACAGAAGGCTGTGAGCTGCCGTGGGGTGCTGGGGACTGAACTTGGGCTCACTCTGCCCCCCTTCCTTCATTTCCACAAAGAGCAAAGTTGGCAGCAGGGAGAGCACTTTGCAATTAGAGCGCAGCCAGGAGGACCTGGCTGCATGCTGCCAGCTAGTGATGTCTAGAGTGGCCTCTGCCGTTTGGGAGGGGCCACCTGAGACCATTCCCTCGGTTTACTAAGGCAGGACCCCACCCTCTCTCCCTCCTGGATCTCCTTACTTCATGTTTCAAACATCTTATGACCTTCCTCAATCCTAGTCCATCTTTAGTCCTTCCCCTACACTCATCTGTAGTTCTGAGATATCCATTCCTCTCTATCTCTGTGTTGAACAGAGGAAGCTCTTGCTAGTGACCTGAGTTAGCTCCATATTCCCTCTCCAACCTCTTAGCCTTCCCAGCCCACTCTGTGTTTGAGAAATCCATCTACTACATGACGTGGTGCTATAATTCCCAAACTGTGGAGGTGGCGACAGGGGACCGGGAATTCAAGGCCGATGTTAGCCATATAGTTACGAGTCTATCTAATCATAGACTGTATGATTCCCTGTTATATTCCCAGCCCCTGAAAAAAAATCTGCCCCCTAAACTGTCTGTGAAATACTAGGTAGCATTTTCCCATTAGGCACCTTCTTCCTTTCCCATTTTGTGATTCTTTTAAGGATCACCAGTGAAGGCCTAACCCTAAATTAGTGATTGAATATGTGGGTTTTCTCATCTCCTGTGCTCGCTTCCCATCCCCATGGGAGCTGGCCTAAGTGATGGAGCCAGCAATGATACAAGACACTTCCCCAAAGCCTTCCTAAACAGGACAAAGAAGCAGGTGAAATTAGAGCTGCCCTTTCTGGTCGAATGACTAGAACATCTGAACTGAAGTTTTAAAACATTATATAATTTCATAATTTAATAGTAGGCAAGATGTCTTCTTGGTGTATGAATTTGCAGAACAGTAGACCTTGTTTAAGAACCCAACTGTAACCCTGTGTGCTCATAAACCCTCCCATGGGGGCTGCACTCTAGGAAGAAAAACAAGGTGTGGTGTGGCTGCATTGCAACCCTTTATTAACAGTACATTTGGAAGGAGATAAGGCAATATGTTTAATCTGTTGCTAGCATTTGTTCAAGATTAAGAAGCCAGCTTGTTTAAGAAGACCTTCTAAGTCCTGTCTTCCCCAGCAGTATGCACAATGCCTGGGGTTAGTGAAGTACATAAAATTCGAGGCAGCCAACAGTTTGTCCTTTATCATGATCTTCTTGCAAACTGGACACCTGGTTCCACTGGTGAGGAGCAGAATGCTCTCACTACTCACGACTCATAAGACTTAAGACTTAAATGTGTAAGGCCAAATACGGTCAAGGACTTGAGTTTAAGAATGACTTGCTGTTCATGAAGGGTATAAAAACCATCTTTTGTTAGAACCAAATTATGGATGCATTTTTTAAATTGACATTTATTTTTTGAGACAGAGTCTTGCTCAGGTTGGCCTTGTCTCAGACTCCTGTTGTTGTACCAGTCACCACTCTTGGCTCCTGGATTCTTTAGATGTCTCCACCAGGCTACTTCAGGATGCTTCATTGCATTTCCTGAGTTTGCTCAGGGCAAGTGGCAGTCCCTGGGCTGCTGTGGTAGATGCCACCACTGCGTTTTAAAACTTAATTTCTTTTAAAGTTCGTATCAAGGCCTTGTAGCCTCAGAGATTGACTTACTGTTTGCCCAGTTATTTAAACCTCTCTGCATTCCTTTTTGATTTAATATTGCTATGAACAGGAAAATGTGTGGACTTAAAAAGTATATACTATTTACAAACATAAAGCTTTTTTTTGAGCTTCCTAAGGGTTATGCAATTCATTTGCATTTGGCTTAATGATACACAAATCTTTGATATGTGAAAATTCATCTATCTCAGATGGTTATATTCTTTTTTAATCATCCGATTAAGTAAATGTTCCCTTAAGTTCCAGATACAAAGTGTTTAGAAGGTCAGGCGTTGACTGTTTTCTTCCATTAGAAGTCTTCAGGCGTGTAACCTCAGAGTACTGTAAAACTCAGCCACTGTGTAAAGAGAAGAACCAGTCATTCAGGGACCATCAGTAAAACGAAAGACTTTCTATTCTGGAAGACGGCTGAACCCGGAAGCTTACCAAGAGCTAAGACATCAGTGTCCTAGCAGTTCATTCTACCTACCTTCCGGAGTCTAGTTTTAGCAGTGTGGTGATTGGTGTGATTGGAGCTGGTGGTTATTGTAGTGCTAAGTGAATGAGGGGTGACATTCAACTAATGTAGGAACCAGCATTTTTATACCTCTGCCTCAGCACAACACATCAGAGGTTTGTTTGGGGGCTGGTGTGTGATGGTGCATACTAGGGAGGCTGAGGCAAGCAGATTTCTATGAATTTGAGGCTAGCCCAGTCTACATAGAGAATTCCAGGACAGCTAGGGCTACCTAGTGAGAACCTGTCTCAAAAAGAAAAAAAATGTTTGAGATGTGGACATCCAGAAACCACTGTTTTCAGCCCTGGCTCTATATTGGAGTGAGAAGCACCCTGTCAGACTCTTACGTCGATGTAGAATACACCAAGTCATCAGGACTCTGGCAAAGACCCCTGGGGTGATGTAACCACAGCTGAGGTTGAAAATCAAGAAAAGCACTGCATAATTACGGGGTGACTTTCTAGACATGGCTCCTCCTGGGCAACATCTGCAAACAGGAACTTGTGGAGGCAAAGTGAAAAGGAGGATGGTAGAAACATGTCCCTTAGGGAGTGGAAAGGGGCTGGGCAGGGTAGAAAGGCCAGTGTCTGTGAGCAGGGCGTGGGGTGGGCAAGTGGGGTGAGCCTTTTGTTACCAAGGTGACAGGATGCCCTATGCTTTGTTTTTGGTGGAGATGCCCACCACATTGACTTAGACTGATCTCAGAGATGTGTGTTGCTGAGGTCCAGACGCATACGCCTGTACGGCATATGACAAGTGCGTGCATTGTTGTTAGTTTCATTTTAAAGGGGAGAGAGAGTAGAGAGAAGCATTCGTCTTAGAAAACGCTCTAAGTAGATATGTCCTAAGAATGGCAGGTCTCCCTGTACCCCAACCTGAATTCCATCCAAAGGGTTTCATTCTACGAGCACATGCTCTCAAGTTCCAATCGGTTCTTTCCTCAGCCATCTGGTCTACCCAGTTATCTTAGTATAACCTGGTGCTTATGCTCCAAAGCCCATGGGACAAGAGACCCAGGTATATTTTTCTAGGCTGGAGAATCAGCAAGTGGTTCAGAAATAGCAAGTCAAAATGCGTCATGGGACTTTACAGCCATTTACAGGCCTATCGAGAACAGACCAGAAAAAAATTCAGAAGCAAATTTTTCAAACATGTCACCTGCCAGGTGGTGGTGGTGCATGTTTGTAATCCCAGCATTTGGGAGGCAGAGGCAGGCAGGTCTCTGTGAGTATGAGGCCAGCCTGCTCTACAGAGTGAGTTCTAGAGCAGCCAGGGCTATACAGAGAAACCTTGCCTCAAAAAACAAAAACAAAAAACCAACCAAACAAACAAACAAACAAAAAAAAAACCACAAAGAAAAAGAAAAGAATGTCACCCTAGGAAGAGCCTGCTCAGGTCACCCCAGGGACAGTTTTTCAGGTCACCCTAGGAACAATCCATTTAGCCTTGTTATCCCCAACCAGCCTGTCCTGACCCATCTTCCACCAGCCTTCCCGGGAGCCAAGGCTGGCATGAGCTGCTGACTCACAGAGATAAGGTCAAGCGTTATCGTCCCAGTGTTCTCCGGATCCAGCTCCTTGAAGATCTCTGTGGAGGGAGGACAGGGGTGTGAAAAACGAGGGAGCAAAAGTGCAGATTCCAGCACCGTCCAGTATGGCAGCTGATTCTTGTTGGATGCCACCAGCGACTACTCTTTCCTGCTTTCTCAGCTTAACAGAGGGGAAGTTTATTATCAACTCACAGACACATCTAGTGACTGCACCCTGCTAGAGACAAGACAGGCGAGTGGTTCTCAACCTCCCTAACGCTGCCATCCTTCAATCCAGTTCCTCATGTTGTGGTGACCCTAGCCATTAAATGACTTTCATGGCTACTCTGTAATTGAAAGCTTGCTTCTGTTATGAACTGTAATATAAAATCTGCATTTTCCTACAGCTTTAGGCGGCCCCTGTGAAAGGGGTCATCAACGCCAAAGGGGTCACGACCCACAGGTTGAGAACCACTGAGAGAGGCCTAACTCCTAGTGAACGGAATGGAAAGAGCCACTTACTGAATAGCACTTCCAGCCGAACCAAACAGCGAACAAAACTGTTAAAATCGATGATGAGTTCCTCATCGGCAAACCGGGCAACAATGACTTGGTGGAGTTGATAGGGCAGCTTGAAACCTGGAGGTGAGTGGACAAACGCCATTGGCTGAGGGTCGGACCCATCATCCAGCTCTGCTCCCAGGCTGGGGAGCCGACGTGAACCCCACACACCCTCTCCCATTACTTTATTTATATGTTCTTGAAGTCTATTTTTACATGTGTGTACCTGCTTTCCTGTGTGTGCGGCACCTGTGTGTAGTGCCTGCAGAAGCCAGAAGAGGGCGCCAGCTCCGAGAGAGCTGGAGACTTACAAGTGGTTGTGAGCTGCCCCATGTGGGTGTTGGGAACCAGTCGGTCATCTGTGAGAGCAGCAAATACTCTCAACCACCAAAGCGGCTCCCCTCAGTGTGTGACACTTTAAATTACCCCTGCAACTGCCTTTGTCTACAGGTGGTGTGGCGGCTTGAATTCTGCAATGTAGTTCCTTCTGATATTTCTTGTTTCTAAACTATTCCATCACCATGTTCTGTTTCCTCCCTAACAAGTGAAGCTTTTGCCTGTTCTTTTGCAATGGTCGTGCTGGTCTGTATTGACAGCCATGATCTCATTTTTTTTTTTTTTTTTTTTTTACCATTTAGTTTGAAATCATCTTGGAGATTAGCTTCTTCCCAGATTTAGGTGGCAGACTGATTGTGGCAAATTGATTAATATTAATTCTTCCTTGTAAACAGAAAAGGAACTTTAACAGGCCCAGGGCTGTCTGGGCGTAGCTACATGTCCCAGCTTTCCTTGCAGCTGTATGAGTCCTTGGGATCAAGTTCTGGCCAACAGTGTGAGTGAGAAGAAGTCATGGGTGCGCCTTCAAAAGCAAGGAGTCCTTTGTGTGTTGATCTCTTGACAGCATGTAATGGTGGTGACCTGTTGTCCCAGATCCCTAAACAGTGGATAGGAGGAGCCTGGTGTTCTAACAGCGGGAGGCCCCATCTCAGCCCTGGCTGCTTGAGGGGACCCGTTTAAACCACTCTTGTTCGGAGTCTTGTGTAGTCAGATTTGTCCTTGAAGCATAGAAGTCTCCTTTGGTGGTATTTGCTAGGTTCACATCCTAGTTATGATGTGTGTTCTGCTGGGGCCTTCCTGAAGGCTGAGCTGACACAGTCGGGTTCTACCAAATCAGGTCTGCAGGGAAAAGAGTGTGAGGAGTATGGACACACGCATGCACGCGCGTGTGCACGCACACTAAGAGCTGGCTTTGCATGCTTGCTCTGAGAGGCTGTTCCAGGCAAAACTTGGATTCCAGAGGATGCCACGTGCAGAGCTTCCAGGAAGGCAGGTAATTGTAGCAGTCAGTCAGTCTTTTTGAGGGGAAAGGAGAAGGATGTGTTTGTATGTTCTTCTGGACCAGTGCCCGCTTTATGTCACAGCTCACTGGATTGTCTATTTTTTTTTTTTTTTTTTTTTTGTGGTGCTGGGGCTAGAACCCGGAACCTTGTGCACAGTAGGCAAGATGTACCTCTGAGCTACACCCCCAGACCCATCAATAAAGCTTTCTGTCCTACGGTATAGAATGAGGCTTCATGGGAACCGCAGGTGAGGGGGCGTGGGTGTGAAGAGTTACCTGCTTCTTCCAGAGCTTTCCGCATCTCGTAGGAGTTCATTGTCCCAGACCTGTCAACGTCGGCTTCTCGGTAAATTTTCTGGAACATGCAAAATGCTTATTAGAACCATGACACAAAGCCAAACAGGTGTGACGGTGCCTGGAAGGTGTGTGCCGAGTGGGCGTGAAGGCTTCCATCTCCACGATTCCAGTTTGGCCTTACCGGGATCACCCTCACCTTCAGCACCTGCTAATGCTTTTGCCTTTTTCTACCACCTGACTTCTCAGTGTGCCCATCAAATCACCTAGTCAGTCAGCACAGGCCCACATTACGCTTTACATGCGACTTGCCACAAACCCAAGCTACAAAAGGCCATGCAGCAAACTCCTGACGGTGACCTCATTTCTGGCCACCAAAGCAGGCAAAGGAAAGGACAAGGCTGCTTCCCTTGCAAAGCCCTTGCTTAGTTTGCTGGTTTGGCATAGCCAGATCTTTACTCGTGCTGAGCTCTACCCTGGATAAAGTTCGATTCCCTTGGAAATGGGAGCCTACTCTCCAGAGGAGTTGCATCTTAAAGTACAAGCCTAGAATGCCCCCCTCCCCAGCACTGATCCACCCAGCCCAGGGTACCCAGGACCC